TTTCATTCTCTTCCATTTTTGCTTTTCTTTCTTTTATTCTATTTTCCTTATCTTATCTTTTCTTTATTTTCTTTTTCTTTTTATTTCTCTTTAAAACTGTGGTCTTTCTTATATGCCCCAGATAATATTAACTTGGTGAAAATTTGCTCCAATGAGAATTGAAATGTCAAACTTGATTTCTCCATCCCAAATTTTAGGCTCTCAAAGCTCCTTATTTAACAGGCCCAATGTACACTCTTCATCACTAAACACGAGTGTCAAAATCTCGAACTACTTTGGATTCCCTTTGCTAAGAAGATTAACTCAAAGTAATACCAAGAAATCTTATGATTTATATTCACCATGTTGGCTTACTCAAAAGATACTTAAAAAATGAAAGAAATGATATAAATAAAAGTTTGAATTAAAAGAAACACAATTCATTGATGAAAATTTATAACTTTACAAAGTCATGGCAATCTTAGAAAGGAAAGAAAATCAAGAATTAAAGTACAAATGCTTCCAACCATTACTAGTAGGAAGGTTTATGCACTAATCAAATATGGAGCACTAATGTAAGCCTGTGTTTAGAAGACTTCAAACTTTGTCAAAATGCCTGCAGACGTGAAGCTTCTCCAAAAATATCAGACTCTCGAGAGGGTATAAATTGTCGGATGCCTAATATCAACAAGCATTTGAGCCGCCCTTTCGGGTTTTAAACTCAAATCTATCATTTGGTTTTAAGATGCCCTTTGCGGATTTTCAACTTGAACCCTCCTTTTCCTTTTCATTTTTTATTTTATTTTATTTTATTTTATTTTCTTCAAGCATAATATCTCTTGATAGAATCTGAGTTTATTGGATTTCTCAGCACTTCTCTATCAATTTCTCCAAAATCGATGCTCCTCCGGAAAATGTCTTTTTGACGACATATAGCCCTTCTCAATTAGGCATCCATTTCCCATGGAAGTCTCTATGAATTAACAAAATCGTTTTTAGCACTAGATCACCCTATCAAAATTCCCTTAGATGAACTTTCTTTTTTATGAACTCACATCATACGCTTCTAGTACATCTAACCATGACAGATAGTTTTCAATATCTTTTCCTCAATAAGGTTCAACTGATCATATCGAGCCTGACCCCACTCAACCTCATCTAACTCCACTTCTTTCAAGATCCGAAGCGACGAACTTTCAACTTCAATAGGCAATATTGTTTCATCCCATTAACCAAAGAAAATGGCGTTACCCCAGTTGAAGTTCGTATTGTAGTACGATATGCAAACAAAGCGAATGCTAACTTCTCATGCCAATCTTTATAAGTATTAGTAGTTTTTGACATTATCTTCTTTATATTCTTATTTGTTGCCTCTACTGCCCTATTCATCATCGGACGGTAGGTAACTAAATTATGGTGTTTTATTTTGAGCTGTACACATAACTGTTATCATCTCATTATTCAGATTAGTGGCATTTTTTTTAATAATTCTCTTTGGAAACCCATATCGATAAATTATTTATTTCTTGATAAACTTGCAAATTGTTGATCTCGTGATACTGGCATAGGAATCATCCTCTACCCACTTAATGAAATAATCGATAGCCACCAGAATGAAGCGATGACAATTTGAAGCATTTGGAAAAATTGCCCCAATGACATCCATGCCCCAAATTGAGAATGGTCATAGTGCAGTCATTACTTTCAACGACAAAAAAGGTGCATGAATCTTATCGGCGTAGATCTGACACTTACGACATCTTTTAGCATATTCTATGCAATCTGTCTCCATGGCGGACCAATAATATCCATATCTCATGATTTTTCTAGCCATAGAAAGGCCAGTTGCATGTGTTCCATATATTCCACCATACACTTCTTCAATAATAGGTTTTGTCCCTCTAGCATCGACACATCTCATTAAAACCTGATCTCTACCTCTTTTATACATAATTTTCCCATTAAGAATATATCCTGCAGCCATCCTTCTAATTATTCTTTTTTCTATCTCAGATGCTTGCTGTGAGTAGGTCTGATATTTGATGTACTGTAAAATATCATGGTATCATGGACGACCATCTGCCTCTTCTTCCAGACTGTAACAGTGTATCGGGATCTTATACACTTGCATCAAGATTGGAATCATATCCTCTATTTTAATTGCCTGAAACATTGCAACCAAGGTGGCCAAAGCATCATCCATCTGATTCTCTTATCTAGAAAGATAAGTGAATGTGACTTTAAACTCTTTGATTAATTCAAGGATCAAGTTTCGATATTCAAGTAATTTCGGATCCTTTGTCTCTCACTCACCTCACAGCTGATAAACCACCAACGAGAAATCTTCATATATCTTGAGCACTTTAATTTCCCTTCCCAAAGCTTCTCTTAAACCCATAACAAAAGCTTCATACTCTGCCATATTATTGGTGCAAAAGAATTCTGAAATCGGTTAACCCAAATGATAGAGATACGGGTGAAACACACGATTCGTCAAGTCCATAAAAGCAGCTGGAGCATTAGTTAACCCAAACGTATCACCAAGAACTCGTAATGACCATAACGCGTTTGAAAAGCTATCTTCATCACATCCGGTTCACTAACCTTTAACCAATAGTACCCAGAACGAAAGTCTATCTTTGAAAAACACCTTGGTACCCCTAAACTAGTCAAACAAGTCATCAATACTTGAAAAAGGATACCGATTCTTGGTCATCAACTTGTTCAATTGACGATAATCAGTGCACATTCGCATTGTATCATAATTTTTCTTTATAAACAAAACTAGAGCACCACATGGAGAAATACTCAGACGGATGGAACCTCGATCCAATAACTCTTGCAATTGCACTTTCAACTCCTTTAACTCCTTAGGTGCCATGCGATAGGGCGTAGTAAACACAAGGGCTAAATCAGTATAAGTCTTTATACAAAACACGACCTTTCGATCCAGTGGCAAACCCGGAAGCTCTTCTAGAAACACATCAGAAAAGTCCCAAACCGTACTAATATTCTACACATGCAACTTTTCGACCGGGATTAAGTACGTAAGCCAAGTACGCCTCACAGCCACGGCCCAACATCCTACTTGCATCCAAAGCTGACACAACATTAGAAAGAAACTCCGACCGCTCATCCACAACCACTAAATCAACATCGTCCGCTGTCTTTAGAATAGCCCAGGACAACTCGAAATCCAAGTGCACACGATGCTCGCATAACCAATCTGTACCCAAAATGACGTCAAAACCATGGAATGATAACTCCATCAAATCGGCCAGAAAAACCTCACCTTGAACAACCAAAGAACACCTACGGTACACATAATCCACAAACCTAATCGAAACATCACTCCGGAAGCTCCAACCTAAAACCTACGAATCTCCACTCTAAAAGTTGATAAACAACAACTATAATCAACATCTAACTCAGATATAATCGAACAAATTAACATCTAAAAACCTAATTCCAGATTCCCTAAAATATAAAAAATCGACATTGTTAAGAAATCAATATCCAAATGATTTGAATCGAAAAAATGATTTAATATGATAATAATCACGCCAAATACAACTCAATTTCATCAAGAAAAACTCAAAACCAATTGAAGAAATCAACACATTAATTAGCTCCGAAAATTCAATTGAAATCTTATAAATCATTTCAATTAAATCAACAATTCAATAGAATCATTAACACTTAGTCACTTGCCCTCGAAGCTTGAAAGAAAACCAAGGAAAATATCCTTACCTTGCTGGAAGTAGATTGAAATCAAGATCATCAATGAAACTCCATTATGATCAAGCTTAAAAAACAAGAAGAGAAGATAAAAGAATAGAAACTTGAGAACTAAAATCAAGATTGAGGTGAGTGAATTTTAGAAATCAAGAAGAAAAAAAGAAAGAATTGATCAGCTTGTTTAAGAGAAAAATGAGAGAAAATGGTGGAAGTTAAAAGTAGTTACTAAAATGTAAAATAAGAAGGAAATGAAAAGCATGTGAATGAAAACAAACAAATGTAATTTAGATTAAAATGAATCTAGATGGAAAAATGATAAAAAGGGAAAATTAAAACATTTTAATTTAGAAGGGGAAAACTCTAAACATAAGCCTTGGTGTAATTGCTTCATATACTTTGGACATTGTGAAAATTTATAAATGATCATCGAAATTATAATTTCCAATTCTTTCAATTCAGTCACCAAATCATTTAATTAAACTTCCATAATTAAAAATAATAATCTAAAATCACTTAAAACCTTTCCAAAATATTTTTAAAACCAAAATATGAATTTTAGAAAATTTTCTTCATTTTTATTGGAAATCCGGAAATCAACCGAAACCGACCCTAACTACCAGAGACTTTAGGACGTTACATTTTACTTCTTTATTGTGGTAGAAACTAGAAAGCAATACGAGCAATGAAGAATAAGTAATTTTACAGCTTATCATAAAAGAATACTCTTAAAAAAACACAGTTACAGAATTGTTGTTGTCTTGAATGCGACTCTTCCATGTTCGGATGTTTTATGTTTTGATGATTAGATTACAAGAGATAATATGTTTTAGAAAAGTAAACAAAGAACCTGATAGGCTTATTTTTCAACCCATGCATTTCACTTTTTTTCTTCCCTTTTGTGTTTCTAGTTACTTCTTTACCTTCAGATAAAAATTCGCAGAGAGCATAGAAATGGCTGTCCCTTTTTTCCCATATGTATGGGGTAAGGGGGAGGTAAGATAGTAGGCTGCCCCCAACACCAGGTTGAGAGCAGCTTCCGTAGGAGACCTCCAAATTATGAAATGCCCTCCGTGGGACTTGATCCCACGACCTCAAGGTTTAGAACCTTGTACTCTACCAACTGAGCTGGATGGTCATTCGCAGAGAGCATAGAGAAGAGGGTAAAAGAGATAAAACTTGCAATTTTGCAAAGCAAATCTTATTTCCAAACATGTGTCTGAATGTGTGTTGGACACAGGGATACATTAGATACGCTGACAAAAGATAGGCTTAGGAGGTAAAGATTAAGCACTGATTCCAGTATCTTTGTCAGCAAGGTTTGCAATGTGGAACTGCGATGTGTAACTATTAGTAGGGCCATCAGGAACAGAAGGCTCATTCAAGAACGCCCAATTGCTCTTCGTCCACCTACGGAAAAACTTTACGTTATACAAAAGCTGTCAACATTTTTTTTCTCTTAATGAGTGGACTAAGGTTAGCTACCTACCACCCATTTTTCTCTATGATATTCTCCGTGTCTGGAAAACCCTGTTTTGCCCGAGGTAAAGGCATGGAACTTGATCTTATAAATTTACCTCCGCTCTCCTCGAATCGAATTTCCTTTTTGGATATGACAATAAGATATATACTATTTCATTAAAACTTTGTGCTTGTCTAAATCTTTAATACTAAAAAAACTGTACCTGCAGCTGGTTGCTGCTATCTGATGGACTATAAATAGCCTTTAGATGATCTTCCTCCGTTTTCTTCTTTGATTTCCAGTAAGCTTGGATCTCTTCCTTGGTTAGCGATCGATTCCTTTGGAGTATTGCTGAAAGATTTTTAAGCAGGAAGGAAAACAAAATGGAAACATTACGGCCTGCTGGATAAAGCAGATAAGAATTTACCGCTATTAACCTGATTCAGAATCTGATACGGGTGAATCCCATCCTGCCATTAGGGAACCCATTTCACTTGCTTGGACCAAAACTAAGTAATGTCTCGTAGCAAATATCTTGAGAAAAAGAGTTTTATATAGATGAGTGGGGTCTCATCTTTTCCATCATTTTCTGCCGGGGAGTTAACCTTTTTACTCGTTCTTTACGTCAAAACCTTGTTTCCTCTTGATGTGAAAAATGAAGACAGAAGGGCCAATTGTTAGGCTGATGCACGCGTTTTGGTCTTATTTGTCTGTGATGGGTTCTTTATTCCCAATTTGAAAATATCTTGTGCTACTTTGTAATTGTTCTAAATCATCAATATCAACATTTTCAATACTCACGATTGTAGGGGAAATTCACGGTCTTCTATTTTGATGTAACTACAAATAACTAAGTCTAGGATGATTAAAAAAAACAAATATTAAGTATAAGGTAAAAAACAAACATATGCACCGAAACGTAACATTTTAATTAATGTTCTTGAAGAACGTGTAGTCGGATTGTTGGAAAAGGTAGCTGAAGCTTTCTTAAAACGGGTAGGCATAGGTTTGCTCCAACTCTTACCTTCAATCGTGTTTTTTGTCAAGAAAATCCCTGTCTCATTGTCTGTCAGCTAATTTCCGGAGCTGCATCAATGGCGTCTAGTATAGTCTCCATTTCCTGATTGGTCGACACTTATAAGAATGGCAGTGGAAGTTGAGGCATCGTCTGTCCGATAGCATCAAGCATGAAAATGAATAAACTAATAACAAACATGCAAACGCAGCTAGAATAAGCAGGAGCCATGCAGTAAATGAAAATGAAGTGTGCTGTACATGGAGTTTCAAGCAACCGTATATGCATAATATTCGAAAAAGCCAACGGTGGCCCCCTAATCAAGTGGAAATTTTGGAGTAGCTCAACAGACCAATCATTCTGATGCCGCCATTTCATTTTCCTCGAGATACTCAGGCTTCTACTTGAGAACATGAGTGACCATTTATTTATTTTAGATCCGGATACAAAATGATGTAGATCATCCGGATTTCCTATGCAAGTCACACCTTCACTGTCAATCTTTATTTGATCGAAGCTTTCAAATAAACATAATTGTACGCTTAGTGTAGTTACATAGATTATCTTGTTGTTTTTGTTTATTTAAATTAACTGAAATTTTCAATTTCAACTTCATAAACTTAAATGGATTTAAATTATAATGAATAGGGTTGGGTTAGATTGGATATGAGTGTTGGGCATGACATTGTGTTTAGAATTAAACCAAAACTAAAAATATTGATTAAACCGATGGAATTGAATTTATTGACTGAATAAATAAATAAAAACTTGACTTAACTAGGTTCAACTAATTCAATTAATTAAATTTTTGTTGATCCAAAACAAAAGGCTTAAGAACAAAATGTATCATTTTTTTACTCAATACGTGATTTAAATCTCAAATTATATTTATTTTGCCACTATGATATTTAAACTTTCTTTTCTCACTCTTACGTCTAAAGTATATGTTATAAGCTATAACATAAGAAATTATATTATTTCTTACTATCCTGGATTGAAAACATTCTCGGACATCCGAATTCGTTGCAATATATTTCTATATCATATCCGTTCGATGAGCCGATCTTGGCTAATATTGAGATTGTTCTATTATTTTTTAATATATTAATTATTGTTTTAAATTTACGAATTGTAGAAATCATATTTATGAATGATGATAAATTTTTATTAGATAATAAAATAATTTTTATGATTTTTTTATGAGAAAAAATTATGTACATGATAAAACTACCGTAACAATGAAGATAAAATTAGTGAAGGAAAAATAAAAAAGAAATTTCTCCCAAGTCTAACAGTGCTCTCAGCCGTCACCCTTCCAATCAGATTCAAGGAGAACCAAAATGAGCGTTTAATACCCTAATATGGGAGACATTGTGCTGAAAATGCACTGGGCTTGCAGTGGCATTAAATTTCATAAAAAGGCCAATGTACACGATTGATCATTTGAAACCACAAAAATACTTTCAACCATAAGGAAGGACCACACAGCCCAACCGGTTTCCATAAAGAAAATGGAGAAAAGCAACCTACTGACGTATCTATGCGCCAGGGAACCTACAATTGAGTTGGCTAATAAGGATTTAATGAGTACTTTTCGTGTGTGGATTCCCTTCGCATTTATCTCATCATATCATGCCTAACAACATATAATATACCACAAAAATATATATCACTATTCTATTAATCACAGCATTAACAAGAAAACTAAATCTTGTGGTGCAATAGCTTTTATTGCAACACAGTAACACAAAGATTTATCTTATCAAGTAACTAAAATTTGAGAATAAAGAATATAAATGATTGTTTTATTCTATTTAAATGATAAAAAAACTATTGAATATCAATAAAAAAAATTACTTTAACAAAATTCTTGTGTATATTATATATATATAAAAACATCAATATGTATTGATACATATGCTTAAGAGATCTATTAACAAAATATCTCATATGATCACATACTCTTTCTATCAACGAGATTCTCTTAAACTACTTTTCACACCTAGAACTTCTTCGCCGGTTCTCAACACCGTGCAACCCGCCATCGTCCTCCGTAGCTTTCACTTTGTATCAATAAAAACGAGCAGACAACAGGTAATATCGCAATTCAAATATTTAATATGCCATAAAGTAAAGCGTCACTCCTACTCAAAAACCGACACAACATCTCATAAAAGAGCTATATCTGTTGGCATTCACTCATTCAGCTACACAAAGATAAAGCCTATCACCGCGCGTCTTACCAAACAGTTATGACAGGCAGAAAAAAAAACCCCAAATCTCCTAGTTCCAAGTTCCCGCAGCATCAACCGTAATAAATTCTAGATTCTAGAATCAACTTGATCAAAGTTAACACAAAAAACAAAGTTGGAAAATATTCCTGATAGTAACCACACAGCCGAAAGTCCAAAAATCTCAAGTTCCAACCGGCTTTAAAAATCAGAACACATAACTATCCAACATTTTCGTATAAAAAGATTGATACTCGGGGAACTATCCTGCGTGTTCCGACAATCCACGTCTTTTTTACAGGTTAAATTCAGCTTTGTTAACCGTTCCAAGACCTCACTAGACACTATAATAAGGCAGTAAAGTTGAACCAGAGCCCCTTCTCTCTATACCATTATGAGGTAGTATCAGGTCAAATTGATCGTAGGATCTCTGCTACAAGCACTAATATTCTCAATAGTATTATTTTGAGAAAAGAAGAACAAACATAAACACTACTCTTTAAATAGAGTATATTTTGCCAAGTTGCCAAATAATAAAGGGAAGGAAAATCCAATCGTCCCGTTTAAAAAAATGGCAGAATTTCTTACTGTATATTTTGCTGAGTTTAAAAGGAGGATCAAAGATTATATTGTTCAAGCATCTACGCTAATGGGTAGACTCTGTTTTGGGATCTAATCCCCACCATTTGATAAATTCTCAAAGAAATCAACTTGTTGGTGGTAATATAAAAGACGGAGAAAAGACTTGTATAAAGTGTCAATTCTTTTGGCACTTCATTCTTGTCCGTGAAAGCTTTACTTCAGCAAGCGAATAATATCTTATTATGCTCCCGTAAAACAAATTCGCCAACTTGCACAACCCCCACTAGTTTTGCTCTTTATAAGCAGAAACCATTACAATTTCTTAACCATACCATCCCCTTGACTGAGGCAGCAATCTCTTCTTCCTTTGCTAACTTCTTTCTATTTTATTAGTTACTCTCACCCTGCAAAACTTGCATTCCCCTTCAACTTTTGTTCACCTTCAAAACTAACTCATCTGATATAGCTTTTATCATATTTTTCACTCTTTTTATTCGTCCCCCAAGTGAAAAATGGCATCATCTGTTACTTTTTCATGTGATTCAAACTCCTACTGGACTCCTAAGCAAAACAAGGTATTTGAAAGGGCACTCGCTGTATATGACAAGGACACCCCAGACCGGTGGCAAAAGGTGGCAGCGGCTGTTGGTGAGAAATCAGTGGAGGAAGTAAGAAGGCACTATGAGATTCTAGTGAGGGATCTCATGTATATTGAATCTGGTCAAATCCCTATACCCAGTTACAAAAGCACTGGGAGTAACAGAAGATGAATTGCTGTGGTGCAAAGGTAGTGTATTAATACTCCTATTCCTACCTCTTTTAATTCATTTCTACTTGAAAACTATCATTCATGCAACTCTAATTTCTGCCTCCTAATACTTTTTTTCATTAAATTAGAAAGATCAAAATATTCAAAAAGCCATCTTTCTTTAAACTTCCTCGGCAATGCCAAACGCTATCAACTTGTGACAGCGTCTTGGCAGGGCATGGAGTGAAGGTTTTCACAAAGACAATAGGAATATGAAGAATCTGAGAAAATTTCCATTTATTCAACTTCTCCAAGAAGATTAGGTTCACTATGTTAACAGCATATAATAGTAAACTATGCGAGGAGTTTCTTTTTCTTTCCTTCATAATTACTTACATGACCCTTTTTGCCTATATTAGAAATCATTTAAAGAATGTTATCCAGAATTTTCCCCTAGGATCTAAAGTAAGATATTCAAATATTTAGCTCATAAAAAAAATAATAATAAAGTCGGTTGTAATCATATCCATGTTTCCTAGCATGTCATGCATTCACCTTCCTTTTCTGGTTCATAAAGTTCAAAGTTCAAGCCAAACACCGACCTCTATTTCCCCTCTAAAGTATATTTTTTATTACTTTGCGACTATATCTATAGTCCATACCCTATTTCAACTTACTTAGAAAAACTTCCCACATGAAATCTAATCCCTTTTGTTTAGATCACGTGCACATGGTCCTATATATAATTCAAAGTGCTTGAATCCCATTACTAAAATAAATAATTTAGCCTGTGTTTCTCGTATTCATATCTGACATAACTCATTTTTTAGCCATAGATTTCAGATTTCAATAAAACCCCTTTTCAATAATGCTAACAATCTAACATAAACAGGCAAGTGCTGATGCTCTCTTA